CTTCCACAACTCAGAACCTCTAAATAGTCTCAATTCAATTCAAGTATTAAGTACTTTCTGTGTGCAAGACACCTTCATTATCTCCAATTTATCCTATATATATGTAGATATATAATATATGTTTATAGTATTGTGTATACCTATATGTATATATATCAATAGCCAATATACACATAATATTGCTTGTACATAGCTGTTTTCACATTCTCTACCCCATTAAACTATGAGCTTCTTGAGATCAGGAACTAAATTTTGTTCCTCTCTTTGTTTATCTTGTGCGTAGAACAGCGCCTGAAATATAGTGGACATTTAATAAATATTATTATGATATTACTACATCAGGTATCAGTATTATATTACATATAATAATAATATAATATTTTATAATAGTAATAAATATGATCTGCTATGTTAGGTTCTTGGGCTACAAAGATAAAAATGGAACAAATATGCATACAGATAAACATATTCAAAGTAAATACAAAGTATTTCATCTTGCTAAATTCAAATCTGGCCTCAGATACTTACTAGCTGTGTGACCCTGGGCAAGTCCCTTAACCCTGTTGGCCTGAGTTTCCACATCTGTCCAATGAATTGGATAAGGAGATGGCAAACCACTCCAGTATCTTTGTTAAGAAAACCCCAGGACTGAAATGACTGAACAACAAAGAACTGCTGAGATGCTGACCTATAGAAGGGACCGTATGAGTGAAGAGAAGGGGGTAGATAGGATAATTGCTATAGGGGGTAGAATCAACAAAGAAGGGCAACTTACTGGATTTGGGGGGAGGGGAAGAGAAGAGTAAGAATGATTCTGATTTTGGGGGCCCTGGAGTATTGGAAGGATGGTGGTGCCCTGGACAGAAATAAAGAAGCTAGGAAGAAGGCTGGGCTTACAGGAGAAATAATGAGTTCTCTTTTGGACGTCTTGAGTTTTAAATGCTTATGGGACATAGTCAATAGTCAATAAACATTTATTAAGCATTCATTATGTGCTCAGCACTATGCTAAGCACTGGAAATACAAATACATCTAGGTAGAAATGTCCAAAAGACACTTGAAGCAGAGCTAGAACTCAGGAAAAGGATGAGGATTGATATGTTCATCCTCAAATGAACATCATCAGAGTGGAGCTCACAACTGAAGTTTGGGAAACTGATGATATGACTGAGTATAAAGAGGGAAGAGAAGGCCAAGTGAAGAACTGTGGAGGACACCTGGGGCCAGGAGGCAGGACATAGATGATTATGCAGTAAAGGAAATTGAGAAGTCATCAGATATGTAGAAGGAAAACCAGTCTAAGAGGATGAAGTAATCTTCTTTGCCAAGGATAAACCCTCTGCTGGAATGCTTGATCCCATCAATTCCTCTCTCCTCTAGGGTCTTGCTCCATCAATCATCCACTCCATCTCTTCTCCACTGGTTCCTTCACCTCTAGCCACAAAAATGTTCATATCTCACCTCCCTTAAAAAATACATTTCCCTTAATTGTATTATCCCCTCAAGCTACTATCCTATTTTTTCCCCTCTTCCCCTTCACTGCTCAGGTTCTAGGAAGAGTTATCTACACTTATTATCTCAGCTTTCTCACCACCCACTCACTCCTCAACACCTTGGTTTCCAGCTCCTACCACTTTAATAAAACTACTCTCTCCAAAGTTACTTATGACTTCTTAACTGACAAATCCAGTGTCTTTTTCTTATTTTTTATCTGCAATTACATTTCTGTAGCAATTGTCCTCCTGGGTACTCTCTTCTTTGACTTCCATGATATTGTTCTTTGCTGGTTGGTTGTCCTGCTTGTCAAGTTAACAAGAATCTGTTAAGTACTTACTATGTGCCAGGCACAGTGAAGACACACACACAAGAAGATCACCTTCTAATGAGGGAAAAGATATGTAAATAAGTAGGAACATACAAGATATATACAATGAAGATGGAGGACAGTCTGAGAGGGAAAGGCATTAGCAGCTGGAGAGATCAGTCAGTCAGGCAATAAGCATTTGAGCTGATTCTTGAAGTAGATAAGGCAGACTAAAGTTGGGGAGTGGGGAGGTAGAACATTCCAGGCTTAGGGCACAGCCAGGATAAAGTCATGGAGAGGGGAGATTAAAAGGGTCCCATATTCAGGGAACTAAAAGTAGACCAGTAATACTGAAACATAAAGTACATGGAGGAATATAAAGTGTAAGAAGTCTGGAAAGGCAGGAAAAGGCCAGACTGTGAAGAGTTTTAAATGGCATCCTTTGCTGCTTCAGCTTTTCCCCACCTTTTAAGTGTGGGTATCAATCCACACTCCATTCTGGACTGTCTCCTCCTGCTCCATTCCTAAAGTTGGTAAGCTTTGATACACTCATGGTTTTGGTTGTCCCTTCTGTGAGGAAGATTCCTGAAACTATATACCAGAAGCTCTAGCCAAGATGGCTGCATGAACAGCCCAAGCCACCTAGCTCCCACGTACCAACTCCAGCAAAAATTTCACCAGACCAAATAATGATCAAGAAGTCCAATGAGAGTCACTCCTTCTACCCCAGAACCATATAAAGAGTCACCTAAAATGTGCAAGCATGAGAAATAGGGTGCTTCCAACAAGGTGATGGCCCCCACAGGCAAACAACTGAGGAAGTTAGAAAGCTCTGGGTGGAACTCTTAAAACTGGGTGAGTGGTAACAGCCAGAGCAGCCCAGCAAGACTTAGACCAGGACAACCCAGACCCACAGAGGCCCTGCCTGACCTCACGGGGGAGAGTTCTATTTTTCCTCCATTCATATTTCTACCATTCCACTTCAGTGCCAGAAGTCCTGAGGGTGCAAAGGGATGGATAACCAAGCCCAGGGGTCCTTAGGTTACATCAGTAGGTCAGGTGATAGTGCCACATGTCTGGACTGCTCAAAGACAAGGTAAGGACTAGAGGATCTTGGGATGCAGTGGTAGGGAAATGATAGGCCTAGTGTAACTCCCATCTCATCTATGTGAGGTGATAACCAGCCCAGGTGGGTTCTGGGCAGCCTGGAGCCTGGAAGAAGAGGTAGGGAAAAGCTGTGCATTAGAGCCTACTATCCATTTGGTATGAAATCAAAACCATTAGAAATATTTATCCCAAAAAATGTTTTCCATGGATGTTGAATGTATTCTGATAACTCCTGATCTCCAGTTCCTCATTTTATTCACCAAGTGACTAGATATAGCAAAATAAACTGGGCTAATAGTCATTTTGGTTCTTATATATTTACTATTGTGTTAGTTTGGGCTTTTTGTTCTCTTTATTAAGACACCAAAATTAAGTACATTGTGAGAATCTAAATGAGAGAAAACATGGAGGAGTAGACAGAAGACCAACTAGGTCAGGAATACCTTAATGAAATCCTGCTGCTGACACACACTACTTCTATAACTTTGGGCAAGTAAGTTACTGAACCTTTCACTGCCACAGGCAACTAAGACTTTAAAGTACATATGAGTCATGATTCTGTGTTTGAGGGGAAAGTGATCTCACTAGAAGTTCCCTACGCTGAGGAAATCATAGCATCATAGGTGTAGAGACTGAAAGGACCTTTTAGGTCATCTGGTGTAACCCCCTCATTTTGCAGATATAGACTGCCCAACTCCTTTGGGTCAAAACAACTACAACAACATGGCTTTGGCAAATCATTCTTGCTTATCTTTCTTAGCTGGGTTACCTTGAAAGAAGGAATGTTTGCTACTTGTCCTTGGCAATCCCATAATTCGAAAATGGTGGAAAAGAGCTAATAGTACTTTATATTCTCTACTGGTTTGTTTTAAAAGAAGCCTTGTGCAAACCTTTAAGTACTCACTATATCAATGTAAGTCATTAATAGTATGGGGTGGAAAACTGGAGGATTAGAGGTAGGTGAATTTCAACGTGATATGGCCATGGAAATTCTCTCTTGATATATTTTCAAACATAGGTTATGGAAATAAACAAGTGAACCAATTTCTTCCCAAAAAAACTCCAGAATTACTATATTTATAATTTCAGATTTTAATAATATTTTCTGCACAATTTCAAATTTCTATGCTTAGACAACAAAATTCCTCTTAATGGCAATCATGCTTTTTCATTTATGCTTCTGTACATTTTTGCAAACACAATCATTACAAAAATTATTACTGCCTATTGAATTGGCTTTTTTTTAAAGCCCTGAAGCTCTTTAGAGAGAACTTGAAAATATTTTATACTCAACCTACATATTGAATATTTCTTTCTCAGAATTTATTACAGACCCATGACCTTTATAATATTCATGATTTATATGTGTCAGGTAATTCATTATGCTACTTTACAAGATAAGAAGGGTAGTGTAGAGTTTACTGGGGGAAAAGAAAGAAGAAAATTCAAACATCTAGTTCTTATGTGTATTAGAAAAAACCCCACAAAACAATTTTTAAATGATCCATATGCTGCAACCCTCATTTATTTTTAAATATCTTACTCCTCTAGTTTTCACATCCTCATTCCAAATGAGACAAATATAATTTCTAACAATTTTCTTCCCAAGTTAACCATATTATAACTTTAGGTATACTACCAAAAACATAAAATGTAGCATCTCATAAATTTCTAAAACTTAATGTTTTTGGAACTTCTGAAATATTAATTAACTGAAATTAAGGCTGAACAAATATTTTATCTGAATATTCTATAATGTTTTTAAAGTGGGAGCTTCTCTAGCCATTGATTAATTTAGTCAATTGCAGTATTTGCATAGAGTAAAATTAGTGGCTAGTTGGCCCACTGGAAAATATTTCAACAAAGAAATGAATTCAGGAAATGTGTTCACAATTTTAAATATTAAGAATTTCTTTTTTTTTTAACGACTGAAATATTCAATTAAACTATGCTAAACTAGAGAATAACAAAAGTAAAAACAAGAGGGCTGGCAATTCAAAATTCCTAATGCACTCACTGTAAATTGACAACGGTTGAAATGTAAAAGCCCTGATGGATTATGTTTTTCCATCTTAAATCATTTTAACAGAACTCCTGGGGCCATTGGATGGAGGAGACACGCTAAATGAAGCTTTTGTTGGTCTATCTTTAGCACCTCAAGGTGAAGAAACGTTTCCAGTCAGTCTGCCTCCCTCTGGTTCAAGCTACAGACATGTCTCACAACAAATGGCATTGACTCATTTTTCAAACAGGTGAGAAATGGGAGGTGATTGGTATGGTTATATTATTGAAAGCATTTAAAGCAAAAGTTATTAACTATTTTTGTGTCATGGGCCTTTTTGGAAGCTTAATGAAACCGATGGACCTTTTTCGCAGAATAATGGTATTAAGCAATTGAAAGAAATGCTAAATTTCAGTTAGAAATCAATGAAAATTAAGATATCATTTTTCCCACCCAAGTTCATGGACCCTTTGGGGATTTGTAATCCACAAATTAAGAACTCCTGATTTAAAATGACTACTCAGTCATTCAGACAACAAGCATTTATTAAATGTCCCAGGCGCTATGATGAGAGATGGGAATACAAAGGAAAGACAAAAATAGTCTCTACCATTAAGGAACTCACATTCTAATGGAAAAGACAACATAATAACAGCTAAGTACATATAGAATGAGCTGGAGAAGGAAATGGCAAACCACTCTAATATCTTTGCCATGAAAACCCCAAATGGGGTTATGAAGAGTCAGACACGACTGGACAACAACATATAAAATCTATACAGTCTAGATGAAAGAAAGGTCATCTCAGAGAGGATGATGTTGAAGCCTTCTAAAGAAAAGTTTCCTGCAGAAGATGGAACTTGAGCTTAATTTTTCAGGAAACAAGGGGAACTAAAAGGCAGAGGTGACACACATGGGGGATGACCAGTGCAAAGGCACAGTGATGGGAGGAGTGACATGTTAGAAGAGCTGCTGGTAGGCCCATGTAGCTAGACCATAGAGTGCATGAAGCAGGATAAAGGTTAAGTAGACTGGAAAGGTAGAAAATGGCCAAGTTTGGAAGACTTTTACATTCCAAACAAACTCATTTATACTTAATCATGAAGATAATCGGGAGTGACTAGAGCTCATTGAGAAGAGAGGTGACACTGTCAGATCTACACATTAGAAAAATCAGCAGCTGGGAGTAGGGAGAGACTTGAGGCAAGAAAACCAATTAGAAGGCTATTGCAAGAGTCCAGGAGAGATGTAGTGAGGGTCTGAACTAGGGGTGTGGCTATGTAAGTAGAGAGAAGAAGACATATAGGAGAGATGTCACAAAAGGGACAAGTTTTGGCAACTGATTGATATGTAGGGTGAGTGAGTGAGGAGTTGAGGATGACCCCAACGTTGCAATCCAATCATTCTGACTATTTTAGCTATTTTAATATGATTAATAGCTAAGCGTGAATGTACCAAGAGTATATATATATCATCATGTCTGTGTGTGATGATAATTTTCCTATGACTAGGACTAAGAAGATGTAGTGGTTAAAATAGGCACAAGATGCGAACAGGAAGGATGAGGGAAGAAAGCATTCAGGTATAATGATGGCACAGGACAAATTGAAGTTGTAACATTTTACTCTGGTCTTTTTCAATTCTAAGTCCTAAGATCGTTAGGTTATCCTAATTATTCATTTTATACTATATATTTTGAATTATGTTAATGTGATCATGTTTGATCATGTTATATTGTGACTCAGTAATTACTATTTTGGAAGACCAAGGATTAAGCAGCTACTTTCCCACGACAGCCAATAGCAAGACCTGAAATTTAAGATAATGTCTACATAATGTAATAGCTTGGACTATCGTGAAAGAAAAATGTGATCAAAAACATATAACTGCCAAACGGGGCAGAGGCATGAGAAGATAATGCTGCTAATTTGATAATACCATGAAAGTGCTTGTGAAAAATATGTGTGTATAGATATCTATATTTATGTATTTCTACATACATATGCATATTCTCATTTTTCCAATTCTCATATGTTCTGATCAACCAAAAGTTCATTTGTAAAATATCACAGGGCAGAGAAGACCTGGGTTCAAGTTTCACCTCTGATGAATTCTGACTGCATCACCCTGAGCAATCACCTAACCTCTCAGTCCCCAGGCAACTCTCTAAGGCTGTGAGTTTTAGAGCAGGTGCTGACTTGCTTGTTAGAGGGAGTTTCTTCACAGTGAGTTCACTATACCAATAAAATTTTTAAAAAATCAAAAAATGAGGAAAAAACATAAAGCTTATGAGTATACAGAGGAAGAAAATTTAGTCAGCTGTCACAAATTTAACAGAAATAAATAATAAATAAACAAGGTAAATGCTTTTTTCCATCTTGAGGACTTACTACAAAACAAAATCCAAAGACTAAGATGAAAGAAAGAAAAGAACGAGAGAGAGAGAGAGAGAGAGAGAGAGGAAGGAAGGAAAGAAGGAAAGAAAGAAAGAGAGAAAGAGAGAGAGAAAAAAGAGAAAAAGAGAGAAAGAAAGAGAAAAAGAGAGAAAGAAAGAAAGAAAGAAAGAAAGAAAGAAAGAAAGAAAGAAAGAAAGAAAAAAAGAAAAAAGAAAAGAGAAAGAAAGAAAGAAAAAAGAAAGAAGGAGGGGTGGAGGGAGGGAGAGAGAGAAGAAAGAAAAAGGAAGGAAGAGAAAAAAGAAAGACAAAAAAGAAGAAAGAAAAAAGAAAAAGAAAGAAACTTGACATGTTGGTAACCAACATAGTAATGGTATGACATTTTAATAATAATAGTAATTCATACGGACATAGTGCCATAAGGTTTGCAAAACACTTTATGTTATCTCATCCGATCCTTCCAACAGCCCTAGGAGGTAGCTGCAATTATTACCCCCATTTGACAAAGGGGAAACTGAGGCTGAGGGGTTAAGTCACTTGCCCAGGGTCACACAGCTGGTAAAGTGTCAGAAACAGGATTTGGACCTGATCCACAGCGCCCCCTAGCTGTCATCTCTTTCCTTGACAGTATCAGTAGCTTTCACATTTCTGTCGTGCGTTACATGTGACAACGGGTGTTTCTTCACCCCAACCATGGCAAGACAGTGCAAGCATTATCCGCATCATTTCCCAGATGAGACGGCTGAGGTGCCTCTCTGCCTCACAAGTGAAGTGATTTGCCTCAAACCCCCTTTCCACTGTTCCACAAGACCTCCCCACAAAATTAAACTGTACCCAAAGACCACTAAGATACAGCAACTGTGGGAGAGGATTTGACGCGAATCATTTCTAACCGCACTTCCCTAAGTGAACTCTGGGCTCAGTGCCTTCCCAGATGCCTCCGGGCAGTGCAGGGGCCACCCCAGCAGACGCCAAGTTGCCACAGCTCCCCCCAAACTGGAAAAAAACAAAACTGGAGCTCAGGCCGGGCCACAGGCAGACCGTGGTCAGAGGACCAGCACGGCTCTCTGCTTCTATTTGCTGTTTAATATCTAGTAGGAATAGCTTCTATTTATGAAGCAGTTTGGGGTCACGGGGCTCTTTCCATGTGAAATCTCTCACTTGGCCTCACAGCCACCTTGAGAGGGGGCAGTGCCAAGGATGACGGTATCACCCGTGTCAGAGCTGCAAAGGGACCTCCCCAGCCCCGCAGCCTCGCCTGCAACAAACATGCCAGACCGGTTGTTTCTCAAGCCTTTGCTTGAAGACCTCTGGTGAAGGGGAACTCACTCCCTCCTCAGGCAACACATTCCACTTTAGGCTAGCTCTGCTTGTTAGAAAGTTTTCCCTGACATCAAGTGTAAATGGGCCTCTTTGCATCTTCCACCCATTGGGCCAGGTTCTGCCTTCTGGGGCCAAACAGAACAAGTCTAATCCCTCTTGACGATGACAGCCTTTCAAATGTTTGAAAATATCGCTCTTGTCTTCCCTGAGTCTTCTTGTTTAATGTCTCTCCAAACTTATTTAATAGGTTTATCACCGGAAGCTTGGCTGCTGGGGGCTGGCATTTTTTTTCAGCCAATAACAAGTCATGTAGACCATATATCACCAGATGAGTGACTGTCTGAATCATTGGAGACAAAAATCACAAATCTTTGGAGTGTCACTGGGGTTTTCAGTAGCTGATAATATGAAATAAACAGTCTTATTAGTGTGGTCCTAGTCACAATGTAATATTTTTAAGCTATTATACAAACTGTTGTCAGTAGTTTAAGACTAAAATCTGAGTTGGCAGAATTTATATACTATAATTTTAAAGGGACTCTTGGAAGAGCCAAATGCTTGTCAAATCAAAAGACGAATACAAAATTGGGGATAGTGTACCTGTTGGAGAAAAGATGAAACATTTAGAGAATTGTTGTAATTTCCAAAAGTTGCTAACAAAGCTAAAGGCCTTATTCACTGTCATTAAAATACATGTTGCTAGGGGCAGCTAGGTGGTGCAGTAGATAGAACTCCAGCCTTGGAGTCAGGAGAACCTGAGTTCAAATCTGACCTCACTTGACATTTACTGGGTGACCCTGGGCAAGTCACGTAACCCTGATTGCCTAAGCAAAAATAATAATAATAATAATACACGTTGCTTGGTTTCTTTTAGGCCTGGGCCTATGAGATATGCTAACTTACATACCTTCACTGGATGACTTCTGGAAATCTCTTAAGGACTTATAGCCTAAAATGCAGAGTACTGGTTAAGATGTGCAGGTTATATTATGATTTCAAAATACTTTGACCTACATTTGTTACTTGCAGTCAGGAAAATGCCCATTGTTGAGCAATCTTACCTGAGGACAACAGAAGAATCTGAGATATGGCTCTGAGGTCAAATCTGCAAAATATTCTCACCTTCCAGCTTCCCTCTTAGACATGCTTGGTGTCCTGGCTTCCATCAAGTCCTAACCAAAGTTGTTTTTTGCAAAAAGCCTTTTCCAATCCCCGTTAATGTTAGGTTCTTTCCTTTGTTGATAATCTCCAGTTCATATATATATTTTTATATTTATATTTATATTTATATTTATATTTATATATATGGGGGTATGTATATGCATATGTATATACATATATACAGACACACAGTATACATATATGTATATATACATATATACACACATGCATATAATGTACATATATATATATATATATATGATTCATACGTAGTTTTTCCTTGTTGTCTCCTCCCATTAGATAGTAAGCTCCTTGAGGACAGGGACTGTGTCTTGCCTTTGTATCACCAGCACTTAACACAGAAAGCACCTAA